GGTAGAATTTGATAATATAAAATATTAATATTCGTATACTTGTTTTACATTTCATACTTTGAACGTTGACGAGGCACCTGCACAGAGTCTCTCTTACACACACACACACACACACACACACACGCAGATATATAAATATGTATATTGGAATAAGAATAACTTCTGGCCAAAGTATTACTGTTATGACAAAGAATTTTGAAATAAAGATAACTTCTGGCCGCATCATTACTATTGCTATAGTAGCTTTGAATATGAGACATTGTGGCTATTTATTTTGATATTTTCACAGATTATTGTATGGGCCCTGTCTGTGTAGACACTCTCTTTCATCATTCTAACATTGTAATTTGTGTCCTAGTTTGATTTCCCGCCTCTTATATATGTTGATTTTGTCCCAGCTGTTTGAAACTAAAAATCATTTAAGGAGGACTCGTGTCTCGTCTTATCTTTCCCTTTTGACGTTATGTATATGTATACAACAAAACTGCCAGGAGTCTATAACTGTCACGTTAAAAATGTATATGTATACAACAAAACTGCCAGGAGTCTATAACTGTCACGTATAAATTTGTTTTTAATTGTTCTTCGAAGATATGTAAAACGTATGACTTTTGGAAACTAGGAATCTATCTCTTTTACTCTGGTGCAACTCTAGGAATCTATCTCTTTTACTCTGGTGCAACTCTAGGAATCTATCTCTTTTACTCTGGTGCAACTCTAGGAATCTATCTCTTTTACTCTGGTGCAACTCTAGGAATCTATCTTTTTTACTCTGGTGCAACTCTAGGAATCTATCTCTTTTACTCTGGTGCAACTCTAATAAACATTCCCAACTTATTAACTTAGTCTTCTGATGATAAATGGAGGGGTGGAAATATTCAGAGTTGTTGAATACTTAGCTTTTCAATAATATATATATAAAGACTTTGCCGCCAAACAGATTTCTGTGTGTTTTGTATTGTTATTCGGGCCAAGTATGGCTTAGCTGTGGCCGTACCCGGAAGTGAATTTACAGTTCGAGACCCGTTGCTGTAAATATATATATATATATATAAAGACTTTGCCGCCAAACAGATTTCTATGTGTTTTGTATTGTTATTCGGGACAAGTATGGCCTAGCTGTAGCCGTACCCGGAAGTGAATTTACAGTTCGAGACCCGTTGCTGTAAATATATATATATATATATATATATGTGCTCCGCACTTCGAAACTGTGGGTCCGCTGTAAAAAAAAAAAGACGTTCAAATCTCATTATTTAATCAGACAATAGTATGCGGTGGGTGCCCCTTGAATAACTGCCTTCTCTCTAGTCAACTTGCTCAAAATTAGGGACGGCTGTGCGTAGGTAGCCCTTTTCTGACTTTTCGCGAAATTTTGAAATGAATAAACACACACACACACAAACTTATACAGGCTGTTTATTCCGAAGTAAATTTCCTCCAGTAACTGAGCGGTAAATCTGGCGGCTTATAACGTTTAAAACCGGGCTTCGATACCCGTGGTGAGCACAGCACCGATAGCTCATTGTTTACTTTTGCGCTTAGCAATAAACAAACGTTTTTTGTTGTTGTTTTTTTCCTTTGGAAGAAGATTAACGAAAAAAAAGATCTTGCCTTTGAATCATTTTGTAACTAAATCATATATATTTGCTTAGTATCGACCAGTACGATTAGCCAGCTGAAAGTGTTTTCAACGGCGTATCGCGGCACGAAATTTGGACCTTCCGATCCATAGCTTACCGCGTTAATCACTAGACCTTGGCTCGCCCTATGAAATATAAAGCTTTTGTTTATTAAATCGGGTTTGCAAACAATAAGCACGTCTGACTGAGTTCAGTGGGTTTCAACTAGAGGGCACTGACGGTTAGGCGGTAAATTTTGATCCTCAACTTGTTTATCGAAATCACAACCGTAACTGAACGAGTTTAATTTACAACGTATGAATAAGCAAAAAAATTTTGATATACATGTGAATTCCGTTGAAATCCAATATGTTTATCCAGTATATATATATATATATATATATATAGAAATAGCCGTGCAATGCCAGCCTTCATCATCATAATAATGAAATCAACTTCTATAATCTATGACACATCACAAGGGAAAGAGCTCAAGAGGTCAATCTTCTTGTAACATTTACAGGATATTATTTATAGGATATTAATCGTAATTAAGTAACAGTAGTCCTAGCGAAATCCGTTCCATTACGCGTACATATATACTTTTATATATAAAATATATATAAATAAAATAAAAATCGTATATATATATTTTTTATTAATGATCGATCAGAAGTCATTTCAATTTATATAATTTCTACCAGAGGGCGCTATAAATATGTAAGTCATGAAAAAGAACTTCCCTCATCAGTTGCTATGTTAATTTCGAACTGTAAATGTTATAAAAGCTGCAACGTCTATAAACATACCTACTTAGTTAGTAGTTATTAGAAACGTTATTGTCACCATCAATCATTATATATATACATATAAATGTATACTGGACATGCTAATAAACCTGGATGATATTTATTATAAGCATAAAACTCAAAGTACGTCATTTAACATCTAAAAACCTCTATAGAGGGCGCTAAAATAAAAAACATTCAAATGAAAGAGAAACCTATTCTTGAATACTGTCTGAGAAGAAACTTGATTTGTCGTTACACGTTCACAAGGTTACATAACAAGTAGTAGATTCTAATTTTCCAGAATACAAACTAATAAATAAAGTAAATTATACGGGAATGTGATAATCAATACAGGGCGTTTTGTTCCAGAAACTTTAAAAGAGATTTAAGGTGCTATTGTTTTTCTCAAACAGTTTTATTTAGAAGTGGTTTGTTTTAAAAAAAAAAGCTGGACCTTCTGCGATATGTCCGTCGCGGGGATCCGATCCCAAATTATAGCGTTATAAGTCTCTCACGATTACCGTTGAGCCACAAGGGAAGTTAAGAAAGCTATTTGAATATAAAAATATTGACGTTAGTTTGCTTTCGATTGAACACATCGTGTTTCTTTTATCTGTAAAAAACTTAATGTTTTTTATGCCAAACACTACATTAACATTTGAGATTTTTTTGTGTGTGATATGTAATAAGGAGTAGATGCACACATAATACCAGTTTCATTGTTAGATTAGGGTTATACTCCAGTAATGTGTCAAATTAACGCTGTAAACAGTTTAGTTCAAAAGGTATGCACGTTGCATATCCTAAAAACAATATTAACTGTTTCGTGTTTTAATGCCAGCTGGAACATGAAAAAACGTAGATTTAGCCTACTAAACTTGGGAATCATAACTTTATCCTACCAACACCTAAAAACTCTCTTCCTCCAGATGGGGCTAGAAAACCGTATCTTTATCCTACCAACAACTAATTACTCCCATCCTGTTAGCTGGTATTATGAAACAGTAACTTTATCCTACCAACACCTGATTACTCCCATCCTGTTAGTTGGTACTATGAAACCGTAACTTTATCCTACCAACACCTGATTACTCCCATCCTGTTAGTTGGTACTATGAAACCGTAACTTTATCCTACCAACACCTGATTACTCCCATCCTGTTAGTTGGTACTATGAAACCGTAACTTTATCCTACCAACACCTGATTACTCCCATCCTGTTAGTTGGTACTATGGAAACCGTAACTTTATCCTACCAACACCTAATCACTCTCATCCTGTTAGCTGGTACTATGAAACCGTAACTTTATCCTACCAACACCTAATTACTCTCATCCTGTTAGCTGGTACTATGAAACCGTATCTTTATCCTACCAACACCTAATTACTCCCATCCTGTTAGCTGGTACTATGAAACCGTAACTTTATCCTACCAACACCTGGTTACTCTCATCCTGTTAGTTGGTACTATGAAATCGTAACTTTATCCTACCAACACCTAATTACTCTCATCCTGTTAGCTGGTACTATGAAACCGTATCTTTATCCTACCAACACCTAATTACTCTCATTCTGTTAGCTGGTACTATGAAACCGTAACTTATCCTACCAACACCTAATTCCTCCCATCCTGTTAGCTGGTACTATGAAATCGTAACTTTATCCTACCAACACCTAATTACTCCCATCCTGTTAGCTGGTACTATGAAATCGTAACTTTATCCTACCAACACCTAATCACTCTCATCCTGTTAGCTGGTACTATGAAACCGTAACTTTATCCTACCAACACCTAAAAACTCTCTTCCTCCAGCTGGGGCTAGAAAATCGTATCTTTATCCTACCAACACCTGATTACTCCCATCCTGTTAGCTGGTATTATGAAACCGTAACTTTATCCTACCAACACCTAATCACCCTCATCCTGTTAGCTGGTACTATGAAACCGTAACTTTATCCTACCAACACCTAATTACTACCATCCTGTTAACTGGTACTATGAAACCGTAACTATATACTACCATCACCTAATCACTCTCATCCTGTTAGCTGGTACTATGAAACCGTAACTTTATCCTACCAACACCTAATCACTCTCATCCTGTTAGCTGGTACTATGAAACCGTAACTATATACTACTATCACCTAATTACTCTCATCCTGTTAGCTGGTACTATGAAACCGTAACTTTATCCTGAGCAACGCCTAACAAAAGATAATACTTTACAGAAGCCTTGCAGTAGAACCTAAGGGTCTGTCTATGATTTTTAAAAGTTGAAATAAAAAAAGTTATTTCTTTCCATTTTTCGATCAACCTCCTTTACGCAGCGTTTGAACAAGTTTTTCTAATGTTAAAAAATCCAAAAGACAAGAAAATTAATTTTAAACAACGATTATTGTTAATCTGAAGTATTGTTCTCTATTACGTAGTTTATTCTTAAATTAGATTAAGCTTTATAAAATACTCTAATGTTCTGCGTTGATTTAATTTTGGAGTTAGAACAGAAATGTTGTAATAAGAAAGTATTCAACAGCTAGGAATATATAGCTACTAGAGCAACACGTTACAACGAATCGATGGGAGTGATTACCTGGCGGTGATACAGTCCTTGTACAGACTGTCGAAGTTTTTACAAGACAGCAGCTTACAGCGGTTCACGCCGGGCTGAATGGCTCCTAGACCCCGCAAGATCCTGACCTGCTCCACGTTACATACGATGGGGGTGATGTCCAGCCGCTTCAGTTTGGTGTACACTGTGTGTAGTCCTCCGACCAGGTGTTTCAGGAACACTTCAAAAGCCTGTGGTAGACACAGCAAGTATTCGTTATTTGCTCGGAATGCGGCCACTTTGGCACCGCGGTAATCGATCAGACGACACTCGTTGGCCGCGTCCGCAGGGATTCCCGGTGGAGAACTTGTGTGTATCGCGCGATCCAAGTTGCTGCCGCCGTAAGCCATAAGCGCGGGCGGGGAACAACCTCGAGAAACTAGCTGGGTAGTGCACGGTATATGCAAGGTTTCTAGGCCAAGTTTGCTCGTGTGTCTTGGCAGCATGGGGGCTGTGTCAACCCTGCTGGAGGAGCTGGTGCCTGGTCGGGTGGGAGACAAGGGTGCCTGAGATGTTTTTAGGCTTAGCGGTGTATCAGTTAAACTTCCTGAACCCGATTGCCCGTGATGGTCATCGGAGGTGGATGCCAAGGTCCTTTGGTTGGAGGACTCTAATGAGGGTGAAGTTGACGTTTGTCCTGAATTGAGACAATTTGATCGATTTCCTGTTCCCTGTACGTCACTTCCCGATAGTCCAAGATGACCATTTTTTCTGCTGAGAACATCCAAGAGCTCTTCAGTAGGACTCCTGGTGCTCTTGGTGGTCAACATGTGTGGAGCGGATCCTCTGTCTAAAACACTCGCTTCCATCTGTGTTCTATTTCACACGCTTTCTTTTGAGGACGACAGAAACCTACCAACAATTTATCATAGGTTTTATTGTTATCTGCGCACACGAGGTACGTTGTACACCTCGTGAAGATTGCAAGCCGAGCCGAGCGGCCTCAGTAGTCAGCGGGTCGGTGTAACTACCACTCACACAATAGGCTACAAAAATACGTCATAGCCGTGAAGTTCGCCAGCGAATGACAGCCTGCGGAGATTTCTCATCTAGCAAAGGGGCTTCGATTATCAGCAATGCTTTCACTTATGGCATACAACTTTATATGTTGTTAAAAGTCTGCTCTTTATTCTTTAACTGAACCAAGCACAGAACTCGGCACTTAGCACCAGTGCAAATGTTAAGAATAAGTATTTTGATCACAAAATTATAATCAAATTATACCGAGACTCTTTTTTTTTTTACACTGAAACAATTAGAAAAATATGCGTCTACTTAAAGTTGTCTGAATTAAAAATATATACATCCAAGGTAAGGGGATTCTTTCTTTTAGATATTAACAAAGCGGTTATGCATATAAGCTGAAGTACTAAAAGTGTAGGTTAAAACAAACACAATTACAATAGGAACTAAATTACTTTATAGACAAAATTGAAGTGTAAAGGTTAATCTAGCATCATCACATAGAGCGTACAGTGTTATCTTGGTGATACCAGGTTAACGTAGCATCATCACATAGACCGTAAAGTGTTATGTTGGTGATGCCAGGTTAACCTAGCATCATCACATAGAGCGTACAGTGTTATCTTGGTGATGCCAGGTTAACGTAGCATCATCACATAGACCGTAAAGTGTTATGTTGGTGATGCCAGGTTAACATCGCATCATCACATAGACCGTAAAATGTTATGTTGGTGATGCCAGGTTAACACAGCGTCAGCAGACGAAAATGGACTCTTACGACGATAAAGTCAAATTAACCTAGCATCAGCATATATCAAGTACTTAATTTATATTTAGTATTATCCCCTGCTTAATCAAAGATGTTCATCTTTAACCCCCGCTTAATCATTGATTTCTATCTTTAATTGTAAAACTGGTTTATAAAGCATGGGAGAGATAAAAGAGAAAAAAAAACGAATAAAAACTTCTTAAACTTATATATAAACACTTTTTATACAGACATATTTAAAAAATCTGTTTATAAAACACTCGAGAGAGAGACGAATATCTTGATATTGTCAGCTGTTTTACATTTGGAACGAAGCCACGTTAAAACTTTGTTTACTTAATTTTATTTCAGTTAATTACAAATCTCTATTTCACTGTCAGAAAGATCTAGTTTCAAACGTTTAGTCTTGATATCATTTATGAACGTATTTAAAGAGCAGCGACTACACGCCATATTACAAATAGGCTACTCACCGGCTGAAAATTTAATTTGTAAGCTAGGTTATAAAAACAAAAATGTTGGAATTAAACGTATAATATATATATATATATATACGCAAAGTGTTCTCTCTTTATATTAACAACGGTAATTACAAATCAAGTTACATGCAAGAAATTAATTTTTCTTTTATACAATACTGAATATAATTACTTTTTGTTTCTTATCAGGTTGTGTGTAAAAGCTTTTAGCAAATACGTTTAAAGAATTTAGTTTCATCTATAATTGATGTATCTTCGTATAGAATTAAATAATTGGTTTTTACCCCTTTTTTTTCTCTCTTGCTGTCGTCATTAATTTCGAGAGTTTTCCCATATATAAAGACAGAAAAAAAAACACTTTGTAAAAGATACGTTACAACTGATGGGAAAAATCAGTGAACAGTTTTGTAAGATATTCTAAGAGTTATAAGACAGACAGACAGCAGAGTCAGGCGAGTAGGTGGACGAAAAGACAGACAGACAGAGGACAAATTGGTACGATATCTAAATATAATATGTAATAAAATATCTAAACTGTAAAATTACTCAGATATGGTGTGACTGTAAAGATACTTAGGTATGTTGTGACTGTAAAAATACTCAGATATAGTGTAACTGTAAAATTACTCAGATATGGTGTGACTGTAAAGATACTCAGGTATGGTATGCTTGTAAAAATGCTCAGTTATGTTGTAACTGTAAAAATGCTCAGTTATGTTGTAACTGTAAAAATGCTCAGTTATAGTGTAACTGTAAAAATACTTAAGTATGATGAAACTGTAAAAACACTCAGGTACGGTGTGAATGTAAATATACTCAGTTATGATGTTACTATAAAGATACTTAGTTATGATGTGACTGTAAATTACTCAATTATGTTGTGATTGTAAATTACTCAATTATGTTGTGATTGTAAAAATACTTAAGTATGATGAAACGGTAAAAACACTCAGGTACGGTGTGAATGTAAATATACTCAGTTATGATGTTACTATAAAGATACTCAGGTATGATGTGACTGTAAATTACTCAATTATGTTGTGATTGTAAAAATACTTAAGTATGATGAAACTGTAAAAACACTCAGGTACGGTGTCAATGTAAATATACTCAGTTATGATGTGACTGTAAAGATACTCAGTTATGATGTTACTATAAAGATACTCAGGTATGATGTGACTGTAAAGATACTCACTTGTTTTGTGCATTATTGTATTCTATCGATCGAATACCAGTGAAATACGTTTCGTAATACATGTTTAGGACCATCCATATCCCAGATAACATAATATTTTTTAATGATAATATTCCGGTTGAATACGGCTACGCTATAAAGATTTGTTCGATAATCTTACTTAGTTCTGTTTTACGATATCACTTACTCGTGCTTGTACTTCATACACTGTGTAACACGAAACCTTGTTGACTATTTATGTAAAGTAAGAAAGTTCAAAGTCCTCTCATCCATAATTGGCTGTGTAGTCTCCAATAAGAATAAAGCACTCATTGAATAAATGAAATATTTATTTTAAACGTTTTTGGTGTAGCTTTGCATTTTATTTCTTTTTCTGTTTATTTAAAGATAACTGTTAATTCAAGCTGCTAAGTTTGTTTTGGAAATATATTCAGATAATTGGGTTTAGCTGAAAACATACGTTAAATGTAAATATACATATACATGCATATCCTTTTCATACTATAAGTTATACTTTCTACTTATATTATTCTGAGGCGCCATCACAAACTCATTTAAAAAGAAACGTTTATTGCGGAGAGATGGCGCTACATTCACAACAAAATGTTCTTTATAAACTCCATACGTACAAACTTAAACGTTTATTCTACAATCATTTAGAGACCAATAACCAGCCCTCTGTCTTAGTTTATCTTAACGACTAAAACACGTTTGTAAACTACTTTGACTTATGTATATCAGTTTCATGATCCTAAATTCATAATGTTAAAACATTTAGTAGATTCGTTTACTAGTTTAGCTTGTGTATTTCATGCCTTTAAGCTACGCGTTAATATGTAGAAATTTACTTTGTCATGGATTTAAGAACTTTTTTTTCCCTTTGATTGATGTAAGTTTTAAAATATATCACAGTATGATCACGGATTAAAAAACACATACAATACAGGGGAACACATAAAATATTACCCGTCTTCTTTTGATCATGTGGCATAACCCACTCAGAAGAAAATTCGAAGAGTATACAAACAAGAACATGATATATTAGTAGAACTGAGTGTTAGATACATGCTAAAATGGAAAGAATCACATAAACCCGAGAGAGAAAAATGGCAAGTTGTTGGATGCATGAAACGTTGATAGGTGAAATTGTTTCATTTCATAAGACAGTTCAACTCTACGGGAACCTTAGTATTAAGACTGTACATAAGACAGTTCAACTGTACGGGAACCTTAGTATTAAAACTGTACATAAGACAGTTCAACTGTACGGGAACCTTGATACTAAAACTGTACATAAGACAGATCAACTGTACGGGAACCTTGATATTAAAACTGTACATAAGACAGATCAACTGTACGGGAACCTTGATATTAAAACTGTCCATAAGACAGATCAACTGTACGGGAACCTTGATATTAAAACTGTACATAAGACAGATCAACTGTACGGGAACCTTGATATTAAAACTGTACATAAGACAGATCAACTGTACGGGAACCTTGATATTAAAACTGTCCATAAGACAGATCAACTGTACGGGAACCTTGATATTAAAACTGTACATGAGAAAAATTAGTTGCCTGGGGAAGTTGATAGTAAATCCATGCATGAGAAAACTCAGTGGTATGGAGAACTGGATAGTAAAACTGTACATGATTCATATCAACTGTATGGAGAACTGGATAGTAAAACTGTACATGATTCATATCAACTGTTGTATGGAGAACTGGATAGTAAAACTGTACATGATTCATATCAACTGTTGTATGGAGAACTGGATAGTAAAACTGTACATGATTCATATCAACTTATCAAGTCTCCCTACATCTGATTTGTTTCATGTGCAGTTTGACTATCAAGTCTCCTACATCTGGTTTGTTTCATGTGCAGTTTGACTATCAAGTCTCCTACATCTGATTTGTTTCATGTGCAGTTTGACTATCAAGTCTCCCTACATCTGATTTGTTTCATGTGTAGTTTGATTATCAAGTTCTTGAGAGTTGAATTATTTCATCTATACTTGCAGGTTCTCCATAATGTTGATTTGCTTAACGTACAGTTCTACTATCAATTTAACTTCTCATATGTACATTTTTAGTATTAAGTTCCCACATAATTCAGTTGTCCTTGCACAATTTAACTAGTACGTTCTCATACAGTTGATATGAATGATGTACAGTTTATCATCCAGTTCTCCATACTTCAAACTGCACATGAAGCAAATCAAATGTAGGGAGACTTGATAATCAAACTGCACATGAAGCAAATCAGATGTAGGGAGACTTGATAGTCAAACTGCACATGAAACAAACCAGATGTAGGAGACTTGATAGTCAAACTGCACATGAAGCAATTCATCTGCATGGGGAACGTGATAATAGAACTGAGAATGAGGCTATTCAACTGTATGGAGAACATCACATTAAAAATGTGCCTAGGACGAGTAACTTGTATGGGGAATTTG